AATATATTGAGGGTTTTTTAGATGCTTAACAAAAGAAAGGATCAAAAAACCAAACAAAAAGAGGCAGACAGTATTTCCCTCTTATTAAGTTACAAATTGAAAAAAAGAACTTGTAAAGAGAGTTGTGGCTAATTGAGGGGACGCTTCATTTCTGATTTTATAGCAACAACCAACCGATCATAAGCTTCTCCCCATGCATTCTTCATCTCCGGTGACCACATTTCCGGTATGGCCTTCTTTATGGTTTCCAACAATGCGAACTTGGTCACCTATATATAAAATAAATAATTGTTCGATAAGGCACATATTTGGAAAAGAAGAATTCGAACCCAAAACTTTGCGTACAAGGACAAACGCTATTCTTATTTACTTAGATAAAATCCCTTGAAGCCTGATAATTTATACCTCATAATGCTCATCTACAACTCCAGACATGAAGTGGACACCACCTAATCTTTTCAAGGTTGACTCTCTCACTGTAACCTTGCCTGCTTTCCTGAGTTGAACTGTCACAAGTCTGGAACACAAATCGAGGATTAACGATCGAACCCAAGTTAATTATAATTTACTTTATATGTGATAGTATTAGAGCAATTCCACCCCTAAAGACTTTGCACCAGCACCCAGCTCATTTATCCACTCAAGTGAACAGTAATAGACCCTAATGAACAGTAATAGGCCAAAGCATCTCCACCCCTAACAAAAAATAGCCTAGTTAATTTTATTAAAATATAATTAATTTTTATTATAAAATAATAATTTGGTGTTTTAATTTTTGTCTTCATCTGACACCCCTCCCGTCTTCTTCCTCTTCTTCCCACTTTTCCCAGTTTTTTCTTCTCTCTGTACACCATCTTCTTCTTCTTGTTCTTCCTTTTTTTTCTCCTCTCTGTACACCACATCATCGAATCTACCCTATTCTAAACATGGACATGCGCACACCGTAAACCCCCAAAAATCAACACCTTCATATTCAAAAATTCATCGAAAATATACAAAACGGAAAAAAAATTCCAATTGCAGGAAGATCCGAGTTAATCAACCAATCAACGACGATCCGAGTTGCAGGAGGATCATGATTTGGAAGGGGGACATGGTGTTGAATATATGGATTTATCAGGAGAAGGGGGTTGATGGGGTTCCAGGGATTGGGATGGGTTCCAGGGATCGGGGTGGGGTTCCAGGAGCCGGATGGTGTTCCAGATGAGAGAGATTGTAGCCATGACGTTAGCAAGGCGTCAAATGAGCCGTCTCCTTCCTCTGTCGATTTTAGGCCGACCTGTGGACTGGCTTGGGCTGGGTGCCAGTCTATTCCATCGGCTGGAGTGGATTGGCTGAGTCTCAGCTTGTTTTTTCCACTGGGTGCCAGCCTCTTTTGCTTCCGGTGGAAGTGCTCTTACACTAGCAGCTTAATTATATTTACCATAACAAATACAGACATGGCGTGAGGCTTGAGCTTTGGGTTCTTCTCAAGAGGAATGTCAGAGTCCCTCAAGAAAGAGAACAGCTTCTGAGCTGATGGTGTAATTTCAAAGATCCTGCAAATGGAAGTACCAGTTGGGTTCAAAACCTTTCTTCTGACATCATATATAAACTATGAAGTGCAGATGAAAAAAAAAAAAAAAAAAACGAATCAGAAAAATTGGGTGCTATGTTATAGTTTCTATCGGCTAAGTTCGCAAGTTTATGTAAAACGGAATTACTTTAAGAACTTAAGGCCCATTGTGAGAATCCTCTCCGGATACTCATTGTGAGGATCCTCATATTCTATTCGTTTATAGTAAATTGTGCAAATTGTGCAATTATTTTTCGTTAAATACTATTTGTGTTTAATTTTAAAAAAAAAATCATAAGATTTTTGACCGTACGATCTACGATAGACGGAAAACATGTGAGGATCCAAATCAAAGTTTTTGTCTCAACTTTATTGCCCAATATCTTTGAGGCTAATAACATATTTGTCAACAATGACTAATTAATCATATCTTTCTTAGGCTGCGCAAGCATTGTACGAGGTCCTTTGCTTGGCATGGCAGACACATTGGCCTTTGTCTTGGCATATAAAAGTGGGAAATGGTTTGAAGAATTATCTTTGCACTAAAAGACAGGAATATAGTATTGTCAAAACCCTTCAGAGTTGGAGAGAACCAAAAACTAAGCTTTGTATTTCAATGTCGATAGGCAACGACCAATGCTCCAATGAAAATGTGCAAATTGTCAAAACCCATCCTGATTACTAAGTAAGAAATTTCTAACAGCCACAAGTTTGCAGTTGTAGAACCGTAAGAGATGAGGGAGAAGATTTGAATTGTCCTCGTGAAGAAGTTGAGTCTAACAACATCCTATCTTATATTTTCTAACAGTTTGTTTGTTTTGCCTTTGTGGTTTAGTGAAACGATGAGTGTATATGGTGATAACTCATACATTTCATAAATTTATACCATCCATTCCTAGTCTCTTTGTGATCTTTTTGAGTTATATTAGTTGTGTTTTACCCTCTTTTGTGTTAATGTGCAGTTAATTGTATTTTAGAGTCCATTGGGGGCAAATAAGGCAAAATGGTGCTGAAAGTAAAAAATTCAATAAGGCCTGATTCTGATGTACTGAGAGATTGTGTACAATTGAATACAGTGATGAATATGGCCCTTTAAGAGACCAATAACAGAAAAAAAATAAAAAACGTGTGAAATAAATGCTCAATTACTGCAATGTCTTGACATCCTGTAGTAGCCTCTTTTAGCACTTAAATACTAGGTTTTACATCACTTTTACACAAACCCCCGCTTGGAGATGCCCATAGCTCTCTCTCTTCTCTTTCTTTGGCCTTTCTTTTAGAAACAAAATCCTTTTTCCATTCACCACTAGCTGCCACCAAAGAAACCTTGCAGCCACGCTGTTCTTAAAGGAGTTCCACATCAGAATTGTATCAAGGGGTTTCTTATATGGATTTGATTTCACTAATGTTCTTCATATCTATATGTGATCATGTTGTGTAACTAAGTTTATAGCTGGGGATTTCGGTGGAACCTTGCAAAACTATTCTATGTTATTAAGTTAAAGCATTCAATTTGTCAATCTGTTTTCTTGTTTCATTCACTAATTTTATAGTTTAATTTGTTAGTTTATCTTAATATTTGATGACCATTAGGGTTTCCTACAGAATATATAATCAAGGTTATAGTATACATCATACTAATCTTGGTGGAAATGTGAATGAATGGAGAAGTTGCTATGCAAACATCATGCCATATGACTTCTTGGTTCTTTGAAGTTTTCTTGTTCTTAATGAATTATTAATTGGTAATCTAAGTTGAACATCACAACTAGGTTGTAGATTAAGAGTACTTGATCACGAGCACACATCAAATGGATGATAATAAATAAGTAAAACGAACTCCAGTTGCAGATTGGAAAGTTGAATACGTTTTGACTTAATAAACACGTTATTAGCTTGTAATGGTGAACTCGAGATCCTTAGTTCCAAATCAATCTATCATTTATATATATATTCTCTTGCATTTTAAGCTTACTTTAGTTTTCCAAAACAAAAATCCAAGTTCAATTTGTAGTTTCATTGTTTAGTTAGGGTTCACATAAAGCTAGTAATTTGTAGAGGTCTAATCAGTCCATGTGGTTTGACACCCTACTTGTGTCATTATACTATCCTTATATTTGCACTTGAAAGGAATACAACATTTAGGATGAGAGTTTTAAAATTAAATTTAATATTATTCCTAAAGCAACCTAATCAACTATTATTTGCAACCTAATCAACTATTATTTGCAGCCCTCCTCTTTGCCCTCATTTTTCATTTGACTATTCAAACCATATTTCTTTGTACTTTCTTTTTATAATTTCAAACTTTTTAGTGGTAAACCTGCTCTCTACCTCTCACATAGTTGTATCATACAATTCTTTGGATTCTCTCTATTAAATTTAATTGGACTTTCAGTTTTATGAAAATTACTTCAACTGCTCATGTTATGGGTTCGTAAACCTTGCTTCCCATTGTAATTGCCATTGTAGCACGTGTGTGGCCCAGCCCATAAGGGCCATGCGGACTTGACATCATCCCCACCTTCCTCCAGTATATCACTGGCAGTCCCTCGTGAGTGCGGCACGCACCTTTTTGTTTGTTTCGGAGCCGTTTTGGCGGGGCGTACTAAACTCACTACGTACCACACCACCGGGCGGCTCGCCTGAATGCCGAGTCTTTCTCCGCCGCCAACTCGACGTCGTCGTCACCCGCTAGATAAGGCCAAAAACTTGACTTTACTAAACAAGCGAGAAAAGTGCCGGCTCCCTTCTTACTGACAGCACTGCTACGTGCTGGCACTCAATTAGTAGCGCTGGCACGTCACTCGGCTCCTCGGCTCACTTCGGTTGCAAAGACTTTCTCCTTAGGCGCATGTCTCAGCAACACAAAATGAGGGTTTCGCTCGTTATAGGACTTGACCAAACATCTCATCATTACATATCTGAGAAACCCTCCTTCACATACAATTCTGGATCCGTTACTGTCCCGATCACATTTATCTGAACTCTAACTTGTAATTCTGACATGATATTTTTCAATATTTTATAAAATATTTAAAATTCTGGCTCTTTCTGCCTCTAGCCTGCCCATGGCTCTCTCTCCTTAGCACAAATTGTGTCTTCCTCATTGTAAAGGTAGATGCAGCCTTTTTTTTTTGTTGAACAGCTTTAAGTTTTTTTATTTAATCACTTTGAGTTTAGTTTTAAATGATTTTAATTAAAGTTTATAAAGCTTTTAATAATTTATCTATGTGGCAATACATGTGGGTTCAAATATTTGCCATCAGCACACTAACTGAAATTTTGACGGAATTCTAATGGAATGATCACATTGATTTGCAACATCAATATCCAAGGACTGCATTTATTGATTTTCATTTTCAGGAACCATCTTAATGCTAAAAGTCAATTTGAGGGACTATTTGTGATAAAAATCCTAAAAAAATTGATGCTAATTTAGAACGACACTAAAATATTGAGGGTGTTTTAGATATTAACAAAAGATTGGAACAAACAACCAAACACATAGAGGCAGATAGTATTTCCGTCTTATTAAGTTACAAATTAAGAAAAGAACTTGTAAAGAGTTGTGGCTAATAAAGGGGAGGCTTCATTTCTGATTTTATAGCAGTAACCAACTGATCATACGCTTCTCCCCATGCATTCTTCATCTCCGGTGACCACATTTCCGGTACGGCCTAACAAACAACCAAACAAATAGAGGCAGATAGTATTTCCGTCTTATTAAGTTACAAATTAAGAAAAGAACTTGTAAAGAGTTGTGGCTAATTAAGGGGAGGCTTCATTTCTGATTTTATAGCAGTAACCAACTGATCATACGCTTCTCCCCATGCATTCTTCATCTCCGGTGACCACATTTCCGGTACGGCCTCCTTTATGGTTTCCAACAATGCGAACTTGGTCACCTATATATAAAATAAATTGTTCGCTAAGGCACATATTTGGAAAAGAAGAATTCGAACGCAAAACTTCGCGAGCAAGGACAAACATTATTCTTATGTACTTAGTTATGGTGAAGCATATACCTCATAATGTTCATCAACCACTCCAGACTTGAAGTGGACACCACCTAATCTTTTCAAGGTTGACTCTCTCACTGTAACCTTGCCTGCTTTCCTGAGTTGAACTGCTGATTCACAAGTCTGGAACAAATCAAGGATTAGTGATCGAACCCAAGTTAATTAAATTAACTCGTATGTAATAGTATCACACTAGCGGCTTAATTATATTTACCATAACAAATACAGCCATGGCATGAGGCTTGAGCTTTGGGTTCTTCTCAAGAGGAATATTAGAGTCCCTCAAGAAAGAGAACAGCTTCTGAGCTGATGGTGCAATTTCAAAGATCCTGCAAATGGAAGTCCCAGTTGGTTCAAAACCTTTCTTTTGACATCATATATAAACTATGAAGTGCAGATGAAAAAAGAACGAAACGGAAGAATTGGGTGCTATATTATAGCTTTGTATTGGCTAAATTTGCGAGTTATGTAAAACAGACTTACTTCAAGAAGAACTTAAGGCCCAAATCAGCAGCATTCTGCTTCATCACACCCCATGACTTCACCACCAGTGTTTCCTGTTCTTCTGTGAAAACTTTGCCTTCCATGCTATAACAATTTAATTGTCACAAAAAGTGGAGCTCTAAGAATTTTAACTTAACTGATTAAAATTGTATTGACGATATGAACAATGGGATCAATATTCTTTGGCAGAGAATATATATAGTAAAAGCCAGTGAAGATTAGATTTAGAGGCAACTCTTCAGGGCACTGGAGAGCCATTCTCCTTATAGATTTCAATTTTTAGCAAACAACTTTGATTATATAGCACATGTTCCAAAACTAGGGGCTGTCTGAGGCAATATTTGGAGAACATGGTTTTAGGTGGATGAGGATTCTCCCTGGATTCTCTTTGTGAGGATCCTATCTTATCCTTTCATCGTACATTATGTGGTTAGTTTTCGTTAGGTACGGTTTGTGTTTAATTTTAAATAAAAAAATTCATAATGATTTCTGACCATAAGATGCACGATGAACGGATAGAATGTGAGGATCCAAAATCACAAAGAGAATTTGGATGAGATCAAAATCCGTTTTAGGTTTTTCCTTATCAGGTCTTGGCAACTAAAGTGACGCAAGCCATTACATCGGATTTGCAAAGAGGAAGGCAAAGTTTTTGTCTCAACTTTATTGCCCAATATCTTTGAGGCTAATAAGATATTTGTCACCAATGACTAATTAATCATATCTTATTTATTTGTCACCACTGACTAATTAATCGTATCTTATTTAGGCTGCGCAAGCATTGTACGAGGTCCTCTGCTTGGCATAGCATACGCATTGACCTTTGTCCCGGCACATAAAAGTGGGAAGTGGGTTGGAAGAGTTATCTTATCCTTGCACAAAACGACAGGAATGTAATATTGTAACCCTTCAGAGTTGGGAAGAGCCAAAGACTAAGCTTTGTATTTTAATTCAAGAATATAATTTTTTCTGAATTAAAACATTTTATTAATTATGTCCATTCTGTCTATTTTATAGAAATTTTTAATAGCCTCAAGCCTACAGTTGTAGAACCATAGATATAAGGAAGAAGATCTAAATTGTCCTCTTGAAGAAGTTGAGCCTAACGACGTCGTGTCTCATATTTTCTAAGAGTTTGTTTGTTTTATCTTTGTGGTTCAGTGAAATGGTGAGTTTAGGATGAGAGTTTTAAAATCAATTTAATGTTATTCCTAAAGCAACCTAATCAACTATTATTTACAACCTAAAGCAACCTAATCAACCATTTTTTTTTTTTTTTATAATTTCAAATTTTTTAGTGGTTTACCCTGCTCTCTACCTCCCACATAGTTCATACAATTCTTTTGATTCTTTCTATTAAATTTAAGGGTAATGCTAGGGAGACTTAATTTGTAAACAAAATTTTGAAAACTAAAGAACATGGAAGTTGATGATTAGTTTATTACTTAAACAATGATAAACACGCTCATTTCTATTGGTGTTACATCATTTAGTTAGCAAATTTAGTCTCCAAATTTAGTCTCCCTAGCATTGCCTAAATTTAATTGATCTTTTAGTTTTGTAAAGATTATCCAATTGTTTTGTTATGGGTTCGTAATTTTTTCTCATTACATATCTAAAAAGCCCTTTTTCACATAGAATTTTGACGCCGTCACTGTTCCCAATCACATCTTCAAACTCAAACTTGTAATTCTGACATGATATTTTTCAGTATTTTATAGAATATTTTAAAAAATTCAGTGAAACCCTTTTTTATCCTCCAAAAACTTGTATATCTATTGAAGGGAAATAATGAGATTTATGTGGGATTTCTAGTGACTAGCATGCATATACAATTCTAAATTTATATACATAAGCAACGGAAGCATATATTATCACATATTATCAAAGTTATAGTCATGCAAATCCCCTTCAAGAAGCATAGGTTCATATATGATGCATCTAACAAAATATTGAAGAACAAAGTGAAGGTTGAGTTTTATACCTCTTGATCTAGACTTTAGACCAAGGATGGACCACATCCAAGCTCTTTGTTCTTGGAACTCCTTGAGTCTAGCCTCCCTCCTTGATTCTTCCACCTTGATAGATTTGGAACTCCTTTGATTCTCCTCTAGTCTCCAAAGTAGAAAACCTCTAAAGATCCACACCCACTAGTGTAGTGAGATAGATGTTGGAATAACCAAAAGGAGAAGAGATGATCAGCTATTTCCCCTCTTGGTGGCCAGCTATGTATGTGTGTAGAGAGAGAGAGAGAGAGTCTTGTTTTTCTCTTGTTGAAAAGTTCACACAAAAAGCCCTAATGAAACTTTTTCATTAAACTCCCTTTATAAAGGTAAAAGAAGTAAGTCAACTAATTGACTCTTTCTCTCTCTTCTTTCCTCATCTTTGGCCAGCCCCTTAGTGTAGGTTTGAACTTTGGGTTTGGGCCCGATAATGAACCCAAACTTTTCTTTAAGCTCGAAGCGATCTTTCATTGCTTCCATGATTTCTTTAGACTTTCTAATTAATCATGAGACTTAATTAATCCAATTAATTAGTTCCATCATCCTTTAGTTGTCTCAACACAAGAGTGTATCGGTGTACAATCGTTTTAGGTTCTAATTAGCGAGACAGTGAGGTGATTGGTTTCAATCCAATTGATTAGTATTTATCCAATTGCTCAGTGAATTAAAAATTCACTCAGTGAATTAAAACTTACTTTTAATTATCCTTCTTCTTTGATGACTACTTATTTAATCATCTAGAAGAACCCACAAGCCATGAGTGACATCTAACCATATATCATGGCTACCCAAGCAAATGTAGAATTTGGTGGGAGAACCTATTCAGTTGGAATTACATTGTAATTCGATCCTTCTCTAATACAATACTCACAATCACATTACTAGGGTATGGATACTTAATGTCCAACCCTTAATGTGATTATACCAAGTTAAATGATTCAATTGAGTCGTATAGGAACACCTTCAATCATTACACTTGATACTTCGGCCGAAGATTCCCGAATCATATCTAAGAGTATTCTTCCTCTCGTAACGAGGATTAGAGATCCCTTGTTGATCATTCACATGCCTCTAAGAATAAATCACTGACCCCATGCATAGAACACATCCAAGATGAGATGTGGTCACATTTCATTATCAAATGATCATCAATGTATCCCTAAGACAACTATGGTGTCTCAGGTCAAAGGATTATTTACATTATTCCAACCAGTAGAGTTACTTGCTTGACATGTGAGTAGACCTTCATGCAAGTACTCTTGTTTGATTGTGTTCAATGAATTCATTTCGTTAATGAGCACCTGCATACTTGTCTTAGTGTCACTACACAAATGGCTTGAGACTTTCCATCCTTCCCATTTGAAAGGGACATAGTATGTACTAGTCTATGTATTGTCAGTGTCCCTCTGACAATTCTATGACCAATAACCTTTTGGACATTATGGTTATGTGAAGAAGGTCCCTGCATTCTAACATCATTAGATTACTTCTTCCATCAATCCATTGTCCATGGATTCACTATTTTGGACGTATATCGTTTATTAAGATAATCCTAATGAGTGACTTTGCCGTTTTGCTGTATTAGAGTTATCTACACATACAGACATTGTCCTGAAAGGTTTCTTCCAAAGATTGACTTTCAGGGCATATCTCCAACATCTATACGCTAACTTTTCTATTAGCATGAGAGTTCTTTCTCTATCTGAGAGTTCATTCTCAGCACTTATGCGAGTCTTCATCTCAGGCGTCTTCTTCAGCCACCGGCCGTCGGCTGGGTTTGGGTCGGTGATAACCCTTTTTTCTTTTTCTTTGTCTCTCTTCCCTCCTCTGTACGCTAGGTTCTCCCTCTTTTTCTGACCTATTTTTCTCCACTTTCCAACCCAATTTGGTACTGATTCAACTACTCTTAAGCTTTAACCGGAAAAGCTTAATTCCGACTTCCCTTTTCCCCTTCTACCTCTAGATTTCTCATATCCATGGCTCCAATCAATCCATTTTCTACCTATCCCCTATTTTGGCCTCTCTTCATCCTATAATGTTATAGATCTGTGTTCATTTTCTGTTACCGCGGTTTGTGGCCATCTCGGAAGGTGTGTTAAGCTCCAACTCCTGTGTGCAGTTTGCATTGTTGCTTGTGGAAGGTTTTTTCCACTAGCTTCCTTTACTTGTTCGTTGTGGATTTGGACTTTGTGGTGCTTGGTGGTGGAGGGTGGAGCGTTCTTCTTTTCCATTATGGCATTGGTTTGTAGTCAGCGGCTTCGGCGGCGGCGACATAGTTGTTAGGGTTTTTTTGCTTTTTGTTTGTATATTTTGGGCTCAATCGGTTGGTTGGGCTCTGTTTTAGTGTTGATTTGGGATCCATTTTTCAGTTTAGTGCTCACATTGTATTTGGACCTCTTTTTGTATGTTAGTTGTTGTGGTATTATATTTTACGCTTGACCAAAACAAAATATACAAAAAAAAAAAATACAAAATTCCATACTTTTCTGCTTTGTAATAGCCCATTCTTAAGGCCTCTTCTTCAACTTCAAACTAAAGAAAATTCAGTAAGAACAAAACTTGTTATATCCATTTTCCATTCAAATCATGTAGTTCAATCCCATCACAACTTTGCCGAAACAAACATAAAGCCATCAAAATTACACTCAAGATAGTTCTTGAGTTTGGAGATTGTGTTCAAGCTTCTTGTGTCTGGCTTGCTAGTCCGTTGGGTTTGCAAGTTGATGCGATATGTCAGGTTAGTAACTGAAGGGACGAGGATCCTCTCAGGATTCTCTTTGTGAGGATTCTAGGGATCACATCATCGTGTCTGTTTATTGTACATTGTGCGACAAGTTTTTATCAAGTATTGTTTGTGTTCAATTTTAAATTAAAAAAATTTAAATTATTTCTGGCCGGAGGATGATAGATGAACGGATAATTAACAGACACGATAAAGTAATCCACATAATCCTCACAAAGAGGATCCGGAAATGATCCTATTCCTAATTGAAGGAACTAAAGAATGCGTTTTTCAAATTGCAAGTGACCTTTCAAAAGATCAATTTGCTTTCTTTTCGCTGTGAGTGATCTATTTCAGGACCTATTTCCTTAAATCATGTTGAAGCTCTGGCAGCTAAAAGGGGGTGGGTGGCTTTGGTCTTGTCGCAAAGATTCTCCCAGGTGCACATTGAAGCAAACGCTCTGCAAGTTGTGATTCCCATTCAGCAAAGAATTCTGACTTATCTATAATTGTTGGAATTATTGAGGATGTAAGGATGTTGTTGCTA